GAAAATTAGTCGTGGACAGCTTTCGTAACGCACCACGCCTGCCCTTTTCCTCACCCTCCATAGGTCGGAGGAAAACAGTCGGTCAGAAAAATGAAACCGCACAGTGATCCGGCACTTGAAGCAGTAATGGATTAGTAACCTCCAATTGTGAAACTTACAGAGCTCTTAAATAAACAAATTCATAAAAAATACTGCTTAAAGGATTTGAATTGCTCGAGTAGGGAATCGTACTCCGATTATTTCAAACTTCACCTTAACCTCGCTTTCCAATTACCAGCTTCATGAAAATATGCGGGGAAACCAAAATTCCAACTTGAACTACAGATTATCGAAAGCTCATTGAATTGGTTCGTCCCTCTAACCGTGGCAGCCCCTTTCGAGGACACATTTAAGATGTGTAGCTATAATGAGAATAAGAACCTCTGGTTTCCTGTGCTCGTCACATTTGCGATCATCCTTCAAATACAGCGGCTTGATTGGAATGCCTTCAGGTGTATGCCAGATCAGACTCTCAGGATCCTTTCCCTTCAACGCCTTCTTTGCCAACTCGCCCCATGTGGGTCGATTGGTTTCGGATGGTAGACGCCAGCGGCACCCGAACATGATCGTAGAACCTGAAAAAAATATTAGCAAATGCGAAAAATCGATATACCACGTAAAAGAAGGTAAGAAATTTCGCGTGGACCTCTTTGGCTTAGATGTCTTACACTTCACATACCCATAAACAGGAACGCACAAAATCTTATCTAGTCTTACAGTGCACCACCTCTACAAGGGTAAGCGACGTCGAGGGTTCCCTAACCACGCTAAGCTGAGAGCCATATTTCGTTTCAACGCAAGAGAGATTGCATTTGGTGGCATCGGCAGTGGGAGGGATGAAAGCAGGGTCTTATGGGGCATAGCAATTTTTCGGGACACCATTTGAGGTATGATATTGTTGACATGGAAATGGGTCAGGGTTGGGACTCAGCTATGGGAGGCTGAATACTCGTGCTGGCTGCCAGACATGTGGCTCACCCTGCTATCTATGCCTCTTTTTCCCTATTGGAACTTTGATTTTCCTTGCAGAACAATGACTCCCGTAGAGTGCTCGGGCGCTTGAAGCCATGCCCCAGGATCACATTGGTGTGGCTCTTGCACACGAATGCGAATGTATTGGTGCGAAATGGGCCGGCAGTAAAGAAAAAAGGAAAAGAATCCGTCGAAAACGCTTAGGTTAAGGGCTCACTCACCTTCCTAATCGGCTGTGCTAAGGGAATGAGAGACTAAGCGCGGAGAGGAGAGTATGAGGGCGAGAGAGCGCTACAGATGAGAGAGCGCCAGACAACAGCCTGATAAGAGAAAAAAACTGCAGCTTCAGCAGCTTACTTTGCAAGGCCCAAGCGCTCTTGTCGGTTGGTTTCCGTGCACGGAACGCCACATTTGTGATTGTCCTCTAGGGGTCTATACTACAGACCGAAGGAAGCGTTCACACGACCTCTGCCTGGGTTGTGCCTTTAATAGAACTACTACCAAAGGTTATTTCAATGGAAAAAAAGTGAAGTGAAAAATTGAACTCGATAAGAGATCGGAAGCCGAAATGCGAAAAATATTGAGCTACAATTGTCTGTGTTGTCGTCTAATTTGCCATTTGTCATAAAAGCTCATCATAAAGATTCAATCGAGTTCGAGTTTGATCACTACTGCTTGACCCGCTCACAAGCTGCTAGAAAAACGACAGCAGTTGGCAGTTTCCCCATCCAAAGCGAAAAAGAAACTAGCGCTTTTTTGTGAAAGTGTGTACCGCCCCCCTTAATCGCTGTACGCGTTTGCTAGAGCCTATTCGTAGCCCATACACATCATTTTCCCTGCCGGGAAAGGAAAGTAATTTCTTTTGATTCAGTTCTGTCCCCATCCAAGATGCTCTGAATTTGTTTGTGTTTACTACGAGTGTTGAATAGAAATAAAAATGCGCTGAAATTCTGACCACTCTTTTACAAAAAAAAAACAAATTTACGAAGATTTCTTCCTGGCCCGGCCAGGAGTGTGGTGCATACAGCCCTATTTTATCGGAAAGGAGCGAAAGTGTACCCAGCATTGCCACGGCAAATATGTAATGCCGATAAAATACAGTACGTGGATCGAGTCTCGGACCACATCCAGCCCGAGTCAGTGAAGCCTTTCCCCTTCCCTAGCGCTGACCCATAGATTGATGCTTGCCCTCATTAAAGCATTCCCGTGACTGCTCGACTGCTTTACAATGTTTTCCACATTTTTAGTAATTAACATTATTAAAGAAACGTATCAGAATAGTGCGAGTTATAATACAAACCAAATCAGCACTAAAAAACACTTGATTTTAATGGACTGCACGACGCATCCAAAAAAAAACTATTGAAAGCTAAGCGACCGACTGAAACCCTTCATAAGGACACAGAAGGAGGCAATCAAAAAGATACTATCCAAAAAATACATTGGTGGTGATGGACGGATTAAGACAGTTTCCTTTTTTCAGGATCGTAAACGACACTGTAATTTTCAAAGTAACTCGCTGGCATTTTTTCAATGACAAAAGTTAACGCCACCTCGTTTAAAACAACATCTTCAAATGGATTGTATAGTGGTAACTGTATGTGTAATTCTCGAATAATATATAAAAACTCACATTGAACGAGAGACCCGTGGCCTGTCGCAGAAGGTGCAGGGACATGAATAGAAAGTGAAGGCGGCCTGCTGCAAGTGCGAAATAAATTTGATCTTTTCAGAAAGAATACATGATTTACTTAAAGGCACGGGTCGCGATCGAATCAGTGTTATTAGGCTGAAAATGAAACATGAAATGCGAAGAGGACAGTCAGTGAGGAAAAAAGCAAAAAATAACTATGGGAAGCAGTCTCCAGCTTCTCTCTTCTTGTAACCTCGGCATTCCTTGTTCTTGTTTGTGTTTTTTTTTAACGGCAGAAAAAAACAAACACAAATAAGAACCATGGGAAGCACTAGGATTAAGGGCCTCCCTTCCGTGCGTGGTAGACCATGGTACGACGGAGAGACACAGGGCTGGGAGGAGAGTAAAAAGCGCGAGCAGTACTAGAGGGGAGAGACGACAAGTATGGACGCTTGCACTTTTGAGTCGCGACAGTGCTACGAGCTCTGTGGTAATCTTTTGCTGCGATTGCGCATCGGTCAGTACCTCCAGGAGGTCTGCCTGTCTCTCAACTATGCAACTATGCAATTTTCCTCCCTTCTTTGACCTTCGTTATTATCGTGAACTCCTTTTCGAGTGAGCGAAGATCTCTTTGGTAACTAAGCTATATTATTCTCTTCAAAGTTCCTTCTACTTGAAAATTGGCGTGCTCTTCCCCCTCCCCCTCCCGATTCACATGGCACCGTTTTCCGGCAAGCAACCGTAGACGTCGATGTTGATAAGAGTGGTAACCATAAATTTTTGGACCTTTTTCTCCATTTGATAAGAACTTTCTGAAAAAGAATTCCTGGCAGTAATATTTCACCTGTTGGCCGAACCATAGGAACCCATGGGATTTCACCATCCGTCAACGAAACAAAACCATCTGACTCGAGAGCAAATACAAACACCAGACTTCATTTGTCTTCACCTCGGCCTCATTGATGAATGCCCTCTGTTTCATAGCTCTTGTTTTATACAGTAATATTACTCCTTTCTATTGGAGTTTTCCAGGGGGGGGGGAATAACATATCGGACGCAGTTCCTCTGCAGTTCCTGTATTGGGGGTTTCAAAATAGGTAACGTAGCGCCTTCAACCGAAGCATTGTCTTATAGGGTTCATAAAGATAGATAATTACCGAAGAGACCACCAACGCCCCGCTTATAACCCGTTACGCTGACGAGGAGAATCAGTGAAACGCTTACGTCGCTGGCTTGTCCCATCTAAAAGCAGTAAGTTCAAGAAAAAACAAGCTTCAACCTCAATTGGTCAACCGTTGCGACGTATATGATGCTCCTCATTTGTTCAGTGCCTTTCACGAAATGGTCGATTCTCTTCGGCGAAGGTCTATCGTTAGGTCGATGTCAAACTGTTGCCAATTGAGCGGTTCGCTACTCGCAACCCGCTGTACGCGACGCGACCGCGACATCGCTCGATTCGCAAAGTCTGACATCGGCCCTGAACAGGGCCTCATTTGAACATTGGCCAGCTCCCATACATCGCTTTATGAAGCTCTAGAAGTCATGATGTTGGAGGCGTGGCTTGTCCCACAGCTTTCCATGAATGTCGAGCATTCAATTTCTCTCCATTCAAATCTCGACCATTGGGATGATTATTGCTTTTACGGGCGAGCACATCCGCCCACTTCTGAATATCCGACCCGAATAACTCGAATACATTGATTTTTGGAGTACGGGCCATTTCTTGGACGGATTAGCATAAGGCTTCTATTATAAGCTTTGCTAAACAAAAAAGGGCGGAGGTCGCGAATGAGGAATGGAGCCGCTAACTTAATTCGCAAACTGCTTGTGTTTAAAGCCTTGAATCCAATCTGCGGTTATTCTATGGTACCAGACTTCTCAGAGAGCCTAAAGCATTGTTTTGGATATCAGCTGGCACTGGCATTTTACTGAATTCGGCCAAAGCGCATTCCAAATATCTCTACGATTTTGGACAGCAGTAAACGCATGGCGCATTCCAACGATGGATCAACGCGGAACGACTCTATGTTTTCACTGCTTTATTCCAATTTCGGTGCTATACAAGTGGGGTGGGCACACCCAGCTTTTCACGCATGTCAAGTGACTGCCCTCACCCCCACCCCCTAGATTGGCTACACTCCCCCTGGCTCACGAACTCCCCAATTCTCGTGACAGTATAGTAGCGAGCAGCAGTCCCACTTACATACATTTCTGTTCAAAAATGCGGCGTGCCCACCCTACTTGTATAGCGTTCATATTTCTGGAAAGGATCGGTCAACGGCGACTCCTTCATCTTTTGTTTATCTTTTACTATAAGAGAACACTCCGATAAGAACCTCGCGGTGGGTTTTCTTTAGGAGAGGGCAACCGGTCTCTTCCGTCCCGATACGTCATATGTGACTGTCCGCCTAATCGAATCGATGCCTACTGCAACAATCGACAAAAATGTCTCGCCCCCGCTCGGACGAGCCTGCCCCTACGTAACCTTATTTTTTTCCACATTATTTTATAACCACTTTTGTTAATATTTCTTGTTAATTCTTCATGAAAATCATACTATACAATAATGAGATTAGAAATGTGCTAGCCTCTCATCGGTTACCTTTTCTGATAAGACGTCACCTGACCAAAAAAGCATTAAAAATGACCTCTTTGGAACAATAGGCTTAATGTCTTATCAAGTAGTTGTGGTATGGGCTTTTAGATTCCTTTGTATTATTTATTTTCTATCGGCATCGATAGATAGAACGTGCCTGTCGATGAAAACTGCTACCCTCCGCGGCGCAATGTTCGCGCTCGTCGCAACCTGGCGG